TGGCAGATATTTTTTTCAGAACTGGGCACAGTCTTTGGTTTTTGTAGCCTCTTTACGTTTTAATGCATGTAATTTATCCCTCAAAATATTATTTGATTTAGCAATAAATATATTTAAACAATTAATATTTAACGTATAACTATAGAATAAATCAATATTCTTTGTTAATATCTTTTTTGTTCAATGGCATGTTTTATAAAAAATACTGTGACCTACCAAAGTTACATCCATGTTCATCATTTGTTTTACTATATTTAAGAAATTATTTTTGCCAACTTAATTGGTTGGATCCCTTTATGATTTTAATATATGGTAAAATGTATGCACGGATTTAAAGATAACCAATAATCAAACGAATTCAGGGTAAAATAATCTATTTTTAAAGTATAAAATGTTCCAAGTTTACCATGAAATGAGGCTAAAGTAATCACCATTAAAATAAATGTTAGGAATTAGTCCTTTGTCTGATAGGCTTCCATGGGAAGGCCAACATAGACTTCAAGTAATAGTTGTCACTTGTTATGACTATTTCAATTCAATCCCCATAAGCCAAATAAAAATTATGGAGTTGTGTTTAATGATTGCCTAAAACCTAATCGTCAAAATGAAATTCGACAAAACCGATGTCCATATACTGTAAAAATCTCTAACCTCTTCATTCCAAATAAGTTATAGTTGCAAGATCATTCCATTACTCAGCTACGACACTCTGTTGACCCACTAACAGTATGGCATGCATTGCGATGGCAGATTCACATTCAAAATGGTTAGATGTTACTTTAGAGTTGGGTCTTAGTGGGGCATTGATATTGATTCGTAGCCTTCTTCTTCGTAATCCGTAAAATTAACACTGATTCATTAGTTTGACCTTGATACTAAAATTGTTCATATCTTCTTTCGCAAATTATCGATAGGTTGCTATACACAGTTGCCTTGTAGAGCTGAATGTACTAGGTTAAAGGTAAGGGTTTGCCAATAGATAATTTTCCTATATAGTTGGCCTCGCTTCATATTCATCACACTGGGAATCGCGAGTGGCTAATTTCGTTTTGAATAATTTTAGTGATATTTATGATTTTTGAATTGCCCAAAGTGCTTGCCCACTCTTGTATATCTAGGCTGAAGCATTTCGTAATAACTGATTCTGTCGATATATTTTTTCTTTCTTCAGTTTAATCGCCTTCAACAATATAATCGAATTCAAATTTTTCTTTAACATGCGTTGATAGTATATTTTATTAATTAAAATTTTAATATACACCGGACTAATATAAAAGTATGCGAAACACTTTATTCAATAAAATAGCTAAATTAACTTCCAAAACATTTATTTATCTCTACTCATTAGACTAATTACTGGCAAAAATATGGTGACATTTCGCGAATTCGTAGCTTTTGTGGTGAAAATTTTTATATCACTCTATTTCAAAATCATGATTTAATATTTAACCCCATGTAAGAACTTCACGATTAATTCCACGAGAAAATAGATGAATATTAAATATTTGACCATTCATATATATGTGTTGTTTTCACACGACGCTACCACATTCTTCAATAAAACTATATTTAAAATCTTCATGTTATTACAATATGGAAAATATTGAAAAAAGTTTCTATGGTACGAAGTTTTATTAGATAAGATGAAAACCATATTAATTAAGGATTTCTGGACTATATTAAATACTTCTAAATCATGGCGAACATGATCAGAGCAATTATATTTAGCCAAAATACCTGAAATTTTAAAAAAAATTATCCATTGGTTTTATCAATTATTGTTTTAACAATTGTTTGCAAAGCATGTTAAGGTCAAAAATATCGATAAAATATAATCCAAAATTTGAGCTATTGGATAAATACCAATGTATTGAGCAATTATATCATATTCTCTTACCCGTTGACGAGAGTATTTACATATCTAAACAACAGAATAAAATATGGAACTGGAACACACCCATAATGTTTAAGTTCAAATAAATTTTATGTGTTTTATTTATTATATATTCTATATGGGTTTAATCTAAACACTGAAGTGTTGTATACTCCTTTTAGAAAGTGCCATGGTAGTACAATTATTCTATCCGCTTAATTTCCTGACTAGAATTTATAATAAGGAAAGAAAAGTCTAAAATATATTAAATAGCTGTTGACATAAATACTAGCACATAATTTTTTGCAGGCAAAAAGTTCAGTTGCAATGAAATAAACTCTAAAACGAACTTGTTATATACATCGCACTAATTGAACTTATTTGACCAAAAATTATCCGTTAAAATCATTTCCTGGGTCCAAAATTTAAGTAATAATGAAAAATAATTATTTCTTTTCATTTAATTTTGTTTGCGAAAGATTATTAAATAGAATATACAATAATTCTAGCTTGTTTTAACTGCCAAAGGAACCTATGTTAGCCAGTCCTTCTCTCCTCTGCTAATTTTAAGCTTGCACGGGTGTTGACGTTCGTAGTTGCTGATAATGACTTCTTTGCGTCCGGTTGTTCTCAGCGGTCCATCAGGTGCTGGCAAAAGCTCCCTTTTACAGATGCTCATGGAAAACTTCCCACAGACTTTTGCTTTCAGTATCTCACATACAACCCGCAAACCAAGACCTGGCGAAGTACATGGTAAAGATTATATCTTTGTCACAGAGGACCAAATGCTCAAAGACATTGATGATGGTAAATTCCTCGAATACGCTCAATTTGCCGGGAACTATTATGGCACTCCTCGTGAGGCAGTTACTTCTGTATGTGCCTGTGCATGTGTCTGCATTTTATGATATTTATGCTTTATATGCTATTTTTTGCTTCTCAGCCTTGTTGTCCCTATCACTCATTTTTTTCTTCACTAATAGTCTTGCACTGCTTCTGCGCTTAACAGTCCCTTTCCTAAACTCCCACTTCCTTCTCAACAATGGTTGCAGTTTTTATTTTCCGGAGCTCGGTCCAAATTTTGTTCCATGATTTCTTCGTGGAATGCACGATATAATGTAGGCCTTCCTGACTTGTTAGAACCTTTTTCGCTTCTAATTTTGTGTTTCTTTGGCGCTTTAACGCTTGCTGAATTCATTTTCATTTAATACTGGATTTCTTTTGGTTTTAGGTTCTTGATAGTGGCAAAATTTGTATTCTAGACGTTGATGCTAATGGAGTTCGCAGCATCCATGCAGCCCGACCACCCCTGAATGCTCGTTTCATTTTTATCGGCCCACCGTCAATTCAAGTTCTCGAGCAACGACTTCGTTCGAGAGGAACAGAAACTGAGGAGAAAATACAGTCTCGAATCAAACAGGCTAAAATCGACATGGAATTCGCCAATAGCCTCCAGGGCAAAAACATCTACGATGCCTATATTGTTAATGATAATTTGGATAACGCTTATGAGAGGTTATTCAATGTTCTTAAGGATGACATTGCGCTCACCCTGCCTGAAGATGAAAGGCAGGTTGCAACGTCTTAGAGTTTTATGTTTTCCTTTTTAACTGATCTTTGTCATTTGCTGTTTTATTTTGACCACTACACTTGTAACGATCAGTAAAAACCCTAGATGACTTCACTCTTAGTTTTGCTCTGCTTATCCTCCTACGTGTGCATACTTATTTTTGCCCATCTTTCGCATAGATTTTTTTAGTTTTATAGTATGCCTGTTTTTTAGTTGGTCGTGGTATTAAAATGGGCTGTGTTGTCTGTTAATTTATTCGTTTTGTTGAACCACTAATTTTTTATAGTGATATCGAAACCCTGATCGGCGACTACAGCATTATTTATTGTTCAGATTTACATGTCTCAATCAATGCCCATTTGTGCTCCACTGATTGTGGACTGTCTTATTTTAGTTCCTCTACTATTAAATGCTGCCAGAGATTGATTTGATCATCTTTCCAGTACTAGGCTTTCTCACCGTATTAGAGTATGCAACCACTGCTATCCTAATGGCTGGTTAAATAATCTTGAAAACGGTAAACTAGATTGCATATACATTCGATAGTAGCTTTCTCTTCATATTGGAATAATTTGGGCTTTATAAAAGTCCTAAAAGGCGCATGTTACATCTGCTGAAGTTAACGTATTTCCAAATACTATAATTTGGAACACCGGGCCTGGTTTCTTTCCTCTCTTTTGGTTTATGCATCTTTTCATTGGCTAGACTTTTTGTAATGCCCAATGCACTAGGATGATAATAGCTTAGCCTTTAATATAATATTTATTTATTTCAAATGCCAGGCGTTATGATAGGTATGATTAGCCCTTTAGTTGACTTCGTGCTTCACAGAAAGGAAGTGGAACATCAAAGTGGCAAAAAGTCGATACATACAGAAAGGAAGAGGAACACCAAAGTGGCAAAAAGTCGAGAGAGGGGGACAGAATAATGATTCACAGACGTAAAAGAGACAGGCCTTCACAGAAGGAAGGTTCATCAAAGTAGCAGAAAGTCCAAGGGTTGGGGACAGAATAATGATTCACAGACGTAAAAGAGACAGACGAACACAAAGGTAGAAAAAAGGGGAGTACTATGGAATTAGTAGAATATAAAATGCGGTGGGGTCATCGTAGTTTGAAGAGAGAAATCAAATACCGGTTTATAAACTTTTTTGCCGTATGAGTATACGTTGCTCAGGGTGCACCACGTGGAGGTAAGTCTATCGCACACCCCTTTAATATAATATAATTATGTCTTTTGTCCATTCCCTAACACAAAAGGAATAACAATGCTGAAGTAGTGTTTTTCATGTTTTCGTTCCCCCTTCAGAGTTTGTTTGAATTCTCATATTAGCTTGCGCTGTGATCTCCAGAGTTTCCTAATTAAGTTAGATTTATCAGTTTGGAGAAATATAAATTTCCGAGAAATTAGTAACGTCGTGTTAATCAATAACTGCTAACAATTGAGCAGACATTCATTTTGACTTGATTTTCTAAAAAGCAACTGTCTTTAAAAATTTCAGGGACAATTTAATCGGAAGATTGCGGTGATAATGACCCTAGGAATTAGTTATCGTTAAATTTACGTCGCTTGTATAACGGACTTTGATCAACTGCCTCAGTCAGACATTTTCCATAAGCGAACGGCCAATAAATCAGCTTTTTTTATATTTCATATTTCCATTCTAAAAGGGATTAGATATATCAAAACGCATTTTTAATTATCGAAGATAAGACAAATCGTGGTTACAAGGGTCGTAATCAAAAAGAGCGAAACTAAGGGGTCAATGCTGAATCTCTCTCCCTCGATTTCAAGTATTTTTCGTTTAGAACAAACAGGGCAAATTCAATTTTTGAAATTTCTCAGCTCTTATAAAAAAGATACTGAACTGTTTTTTCCAAAGCTTGTGGTTTGTGGCCCCTGTTGTCTTACCGAAAAATAAAGGCCAATTTCGATCACAATAGCCATTTTACCACCCAGTTTAATTTAGGCTTAACAGAACATTATATTCTTACCTAAGAGATTTTCCAAAAAGAAAGAAAAGAAGGACTTTTCCCAATTACTTCAATAGAGTTTATTTCTGAGGCCAATAGTTCTAATGTGAGAGTTGCTGAGGGGAGTGAACTCGGGTTAATTTCCTTTAACAAACTACTTAAGCGTTTAAGGCCTTAGCAATTAACTCTGATCAATATAAACGGAAACTTTACAAATATTTAAAATCGAGTGGATTGATAAAGAGGAGTGAAGGGTAGAGAAATTTTACCCTATTCTTCCGACGGAACTATTTCAAATGCTTTCACGATTTATAAATTTGTTGTCAATTGCGCTAAATAGGGTTTTTCTACGGTCACCAATTTGACTGAAATTAACTTGAATTTTCAATGCAAAATGCCCACTCCTTATTGGTCAGCAAAGGTCAGAATTATGCCAGAGTCGGTTTCTGTGTTGTTAACATCGTAGGAGAAATCACTAACTACTTCTTTTTTGGGTATTCGATGCTATCAGTTGTGATAAATGATATTTATTTATTGCAATTGCATTGTTTCGCAATATGAATCTCCTCAAGAATGTCAAAAGTATGTTCAAATGCACTATAACTCTACTCAACTTTGAACTTATTTATAATGGATTAACCTAGCTGTTATTGGAAATTGAAAAATTCAACTTATCCATTTGGGACCTATTTAGGTTAATGTTTTGAGAAAATCAAGTAGAAAGGCATTGGGAGAAATTTCAACTTTACCAATACAAGTGCATATACTTTTGTTCGAAGAAGAACCAAATAGTGAATTTTTGTTCAAGAGTACAATAGGGAATTGATAGCATTCAATTATTCCAAATCGATGTTCTTTGGAATATCAAGTGACTGTTTTGGAGATGAGGGCGATTGACTTAAACTAGGAACAGAAATAAAGTCACTTACTTATGGATAGAATAATTTTCTTTTGTTTCTAATGAAATCATATGGGTTTATTGTTTAGCGCTTCAGCTTATTTAAATGCACTAAACTTCGATGGACTTTTGGCACCAACTACTGCAGATTGTACTAATGATTTTTGAGCCCTTACCAACTTGTTTATTAATTTTTCCCCTTATTTATTAGATGTACCAGTTACAATGAATTTGAATACAAAATAGGCCATATTCTCGTACTTGAATATCGGGTTTCTATGATGCTTCATCAAGGTGACCAAAGACTTTGCTCTAACCTGAGTTAGCACCAAACCCTTCCTTAGAAATTTTCGAGATGCTTGTACTCAATGATAACCAATTTTTCAAAGATTGAGAGAGGATGCGACAGCCTTTCTAAATTCGAAAGATCTAGAAGTTACTTAGCTCGTCAGAGTACTGGAAGGGGTAGAGGTGTGGGGGAAGATGCAAGCTGTAGTACGGTAAATGGAAATCAAAAGGAGAGGAATTTTACGAGTGGAACTCTGACTGTAACATGCAGTGCTTGTAAGGGTACATTGAGATGGCTTGGGAGAGTTGTCCGAATTAGGCTCAATCAATAAATGTGAATGTTTGTAGCACAAATATGAAACAATGGAAGGTTGAGTTCGCAAGAATTCTCCAACTTTTTGGATTGTAGTACTTTGAACTTCTCTTTCGAAAAATGCACCTCGATTATGTTGTACAATGGATAACTGGGAGAGAATTGTAATGACATTTCTTTCTTCATTGTTAGTAAAGGTAAAATTGAGAAAAGTTTCAAAATAATCGTCTTTGTTATTTATCGTCTACTGATATATGGTCACATTTAATAAAATTAATATCTCAGGTGATATGTTTTTTTGTGCTCTTTATGAATGCACAAGTTACATAAATTTTTAATATCTTAGTTGCCCTATTAACAAAGAGAAGACGATGGAATAGAATACTTCATCAACGACCAATGTTCGATAGGGAATTGGAGAACACGGTGGCAGAAAACATTTTGTTATATTAGTTTCCATGGCTTTCAGTTTTACCTGATTTTGAAAAAAGGGATTCAACAATAGTAGTCCAAAATCAAAGTATCTTCCTTGAAATGTCAGCCATGTGATAAGGAAATCTCAATTTACCTCCATTTAGGCTCGATCATTAACTAATTTTCGAAGGAAGTGTGTGTACCTTGATTTCAGGGATTTACAATGATTGGGTATCTTGATTAATCCTGTCAATAGAATGATTAGTTTGTAGCGGATTGCTACGATACTAAAGCCTGACCGACTCAGAAATCTCTAAGGCAGATTCTCCAACATCTAGCTAGTCTCCCAGAACCACCTAAGCTATAGCCCAGCAATAAAGGAAACAGAAGTGTAGCATGGAGCACGTTTATTCAGTACGGGTATTCCGGACAAAATGTGCACGCATGGAGCTACTCATGATCAGGATGTGGGATTAGGTTAAACAGAGGTTGATGATTGGTCACTGTTTGTGCGGTCGCGGCATACAGAGTTGTACGGTCGCACCTCCCAGTCCTGGCGAGCAGACATGCAGGCATACGATGACGCACAGAGCGATAACGTGTCCCACAAGTTCAATGTGATTTACCTGAACCACACTATTGTTAGGTTGGGATGCTACAAATCCCATGTCCCGTGCCGGTAAATTACAACTTACACTGTACTAAAGTATAAAGGCTGAGTTTGGGGGAGTTAGTTTAACACGCTTTTATCTAATAACATTTGAACAATGGATGATTTCTGGGACGTACTCAGTGTGGAAGACATGTTGCTAGTATTCTTATCGATTCTGGAGACTTCTGCCCATATGATGAAGGATAAGTTTGACGGACTTTCTCTGCCAGAATAAGGTTTTACGACCTTAAATTGATTTGGAATTTTTTTCATATCATTAATGTAAACAGCTTTATTTTCTCGGCTATTTTTGAGTAAATTTTACTTTATCTTTTGCGCTTACATGAATTTTGTTTAATTAAAAGCAGTTTAAACTCGAAAACTCTACTTCGTGTCCTTACTTGCTCCCAGCAGGTTGCCCAGGGGAAAGTGTCCTCATCTTAATGACCTTTTATAAAATTTATTCAACTCACAGAAATC